TTTCTAGCCGGCTTGAGGTTTTTGAAGGGGCCCTGGGACACACAAATAATACACACAAATAAAAAGGTTCCCCATATTTTCCAATATGTTCTGGGTTTTTGCCTTCCCCCCACTTCCCATATTTTCTCACATTTTCGGGGGAATGGACGATTCGATGTGTCTGTGTCTTCTCCCCTCCTGAGTTTTGTGGACACGTCGGAAATTGGCGGCGAGATGTCGCCTGCGAAGTGGGGCCAGGCCGGCAAGGCCTCGGGCTGCGCACGGACGGCCCCGCGACGCAACCCCTGGGTGGCCTCCAGGCTTTCCCCCCCCCCGCAGGCACCCCCAAGCAGTGCTCTTGGAACATAAGCCCGATGTGATGAAACAAGACAGCCTCCGCCAGAACTGTTCTGAGAACATCTCGTGGAAACCACGAAAGGATCTTAGAATGTTCTTAGAACATAAGCCCGATGTGCTAAAACAAGACAGTCACCGCCAGAACTGTTCTGAGAACATTTCGTGGAAGCCACGAAGGGTTCTCAGAACATTGTTCGGTAGGGCTAGTTAGGCGAGCCAGGACGCTTCGCCACTGCTCGACACCCCCCCCGAGTGGCCCAGGGGGGGCGCCGAGGCCGCACGGGACTGCTCGGGAGGCCTGCTGGCGCCGGCTGGGCTGCTTCGGGGGGCCGTCGGTGCGCAGTCCGAAGCCTTCCAAGGCCACGAAGACGGGCGCGATGTAGAAGAAGAAGAAGAGGAACAAGAAGAAGAAGAAGAAGAAGAAGAAAGCCACACACACACCGGGAAATCCGAACAGTCCAACCCGTTGAACGACGAGCGGAAGTCGGGCACCCACTTCCAGCCCCCCACGCAATTCTCGCGCTTCTCGGACGCTCTCCGGGACAGACTCGATTCGACGAACCAACTATCCGAGTGAAAATGCTGCAGTTCTCGCAGACGAGATACTTGAAGGGCGGCGGGGCAGCACGGCCACGGGTTCCGAGCTCTGGGCGGGCCAGAACAGACCAGCCAGCAACCCGAGACCCAACGAAGAAGATCAAGCGAAAGTCCTGCGCAATGCAGGTGCTCAATCACACTATGCCCACAGATCCTTCCTTTTATAAACTAAAGCTAGACAGCGGTGGCAATGCGAAACCGCAGACTGGCGCCCGGGGCCAACTCACGCAGCTCCGAAGATACTTCACGCGGACACGGGGCACACAGTTCAAGAAGTTCCTTCGTTCCCGCGGCGAGTCTGCCCACCGCGTTGAGCGCAGAAGACGACAGTGACATCGCCGCTCCCTTCTACCCCGCCCAAAATTAAGGAAGGCACGCGCCGCCTGGCCCGGGACGCAAGACCCCCCCGATGGCCGACGGCCGCCACCCGCGGGGACTCGCTGCACCAGGCGGAATTCTCGAAATAATAACTCCCACATCTGGCTCCCGACTCGTGCCAAATAAGACACTGCTGCCCGACGGCCTCGCCATGCCTGCGCCGCGCCGCGATTCCCCCACCACGGCTCGCACAATGCCTCGCGCGGCGGCCGGGCGCCCACCGCGAGGCCCACCCCCCACCGCCAAACCCTCGCGCAAATTGACGCTGGCCCGCAATTCTTGCTGAGGGGTCACTGCACACGCTGCTGCTCGCCCTGCAGCAGGCGCCCTCCTCGCCAACAGCCCGCCCCAACTTCCAACGGGCCTCCACCTCCCTGAGCCGGGGCCGACCGGAGATGGGAAAGACATTGCTGGTTGCTCCAACGCGCGCTGAATTTGGACGCCCCACAGAGCGCCCCGGCAAGGCCCAGACCCCTCGCGAGGCCCGAGTAGTTCAGGACGACGGGATGAGAAGCACTCCGCGGTTGATCGGACCACTGCATTGCCGCAACACGGCCCCCGTGATCTGCGCTGCCAAGGCTTCGGCGAACCGATCCTGGGAGAGGGGGCCTGACCGCTTTCAACAACTGGCCCGACGGGGCGTTTCGCGACGCCCCGCATCTGCCCCCGAAAGATCCTTCCCAGTTGGGCCAAGCGCACCTCCACGCGCAGAGATGGGCAA